TTAATGGGCATGGAGGTACTACAAGCGCCGGTTTCGAGGCAGTTCATGGAGGTTTTGGGTGTGGTAGTAGGAATCAGAAGGGGGAGGAAGTTCTGGACTTCGCGGTAGCTTTTGATCTGATGATAGCCAACACTTTCTTTAGAAAGAGAGAATCTCATCTAGTGACCTTCAGTAGCAGACAACACTCTAGCCAGATTGACTTTGTCCTCGCAAGAAGAAATGACAAACGAGCATGCTTGGGTTGCAAGGTGATACCAGGGGAATGTGTTGTTTCTCAACATAAGCTTTTGATGGCAGACTTTCGTTTTCAGGTGCGTGCCCGTAGGGATAAATAAGCTAAGATTAAAAGAACAAAGTGGTGGAAACTAAAAGGGGAGACGTCAGAGGTATTCAGGGAAAGAGTTATTAAAGAGGGCTCTTGGAAGGAAGAAGATGACATAAACAACATGTGGGAGAAGATGGCAACCAACATTCGGAAGGTAGCCTCAGAGGTGTGTGGAGTAACCAAAGGAAGTGGAGGCGAGGCTAAAGATACTTGGTGGTGGAACGAGGAAATCCAAAGGGCTATTAAGGAGAAGAAAGAATGCTATAGACGCTTGTACCATGACAGGAGCGTGGACAACATAGAGAAGCACAAGGTGGCAAAGAAGACTTCAAAGCGAGCTGTAAGTGTGGCAAAGGTAGAGTGTACGAGGATCTTTACCAACATTTGAGTACGGAGGAAGGAGAGAAGGACATTTATAGGATGGCTAGGGTTCGTGAGAGAGGGTTCGTGAGAGAAAGACAGGGGACTTCAACCAAGTTAAGTGCATTAAGGATGAAAGGGAGCATCTCTTGGTGAAAGAGGATGAGATCCGACATCGATGGCAAGAGTATTTTGATAAATTGTTCAATGGTGAGAATACGGACACAACCTTTCAGTTGGATGACTCTTTTGATGACACCAATAGGCGCTTTGTGTGGAGAACCCAAGAATCTGAGGTCAGAGGCGTTGAAAAGGATGAAAGGAGATAAGGCGATGGGACCGGATAGTATCCCAATCGAGGTGTGGAGATGCCTCGGGGACATAGTTATAGTATGACTAATCAAGCTGTTCAACCATATTTTTCGATCGAACAAGATGCCTGACGAGTGGAGGAGAAGTATATTGGTACAGATCTACAAGAATAAATGGGATATTCAAAGTTGTACTAATTATAGGGGAATTAAGTTGATGAGCCATACTATGAAGCTATGTGAGAGAGTTATTAAGCATCGCTTGAGAGCAATAATGCGGGTCTCTATGAACCAATTTGGTTTCATGCCCGGAAGGTCAACCATGGAAGCCATTTTCTTAATAAGACAAGTTATGGAGCGGTATAGGGAGAAGAAGAAAGATCTACACATGGTTTTTATTGACTTGGAGAATGCTTATGATAAAATACTAAGGAATGTTATGTGGTGGGCTTTAGACAAAAATAAAGTCCCAACGAAGTACGTCGGGCTCATTAAGGACATGTACAACAATGTTGTGACTAGTGTTCGAACAAGTGATGGAAACACGGATGACTTCCCGATTAGGATAGGACTACATCAAGGGTTCGCTTTGAGCCCTTATCTGTTTGCCTTAGTGATGGATGATGTCACAAGGGACATACAAGGGGACATCCCTTGGTGTATGCTTTTCGTGAACGATGTAGTGCTAGTTGATGAAAGCCGAATAGGAGTGAATCAGAAACTGGAGTTATGACGGGAGACTTTGGAGTCCAAAAGTTTTAGACTCAGTAGAACTAAAACTGAGTATATGAGATGTGACTTTGACACTACTACTTGGGAGGAGGAAGATATTAGTTTGGAAGGTCAAGTAGTGCCTAAGAAGGATACCTTTCGATATTTAAGATCAATGCTACAAAGAGACGGGGATATTGATGAAGATGTTAGCCATAGAATCAAAGCAGGGTGGATGAAGTGGCGCCTATCATCTGGTGTCCTATGTGACAAGGGTACCACAAAAGCTAAAATGCAAGTTTTATAGGACGACGATTAGACCTGCTATGTTGTATGGTGCAAAATGTGGACCTACGAAAAGACGACATGTTCAACAGATAAGTGTCGCGGAAATGCTTATGTTGCGTTGGATTTGCGGCCATACAAGAAGGGATCGAGTTCGGAACGATGATATACGTGATAGATTAGGGGTAGCACCAATTGAAGAAAAGTTTGCTCAACACCGGTTGAGATAATTTGGACATGTCCAACGGAGACCTCCAGAGGCACCGGTGCGTAGTGGAATCCTAAGCCAGGATAGTAACGTGAAGAGAGGCAGAGGAAGACCGAAGTTGACTTGGGTAGAGGCAATAAAAGGAGACTTGAAAGGATGTAATATATCCAAAGACTTAGCCTTAGATAGGAGTGCTTGGAAAACAGCTATTCACGTGTCTGAACCTTGATTGCTTCTACTGGGTTTCAACTCTAGCCTATCCCAACTTGTTTGGGACTTAAAGGCTTTTGTTGTTGTTGATGTATTACCTCATTTTGAGTAAAATATTCCAATGGTGGGTCAAAAGTAGATAATTTGGTATTGTTTTGCCGCTTGTTAGAATAGATGCCAATGCCAAGGAATGGAAGTGCTTGTTTCATGTTTTGTAGAATCCACCTTTTAGGCTGATGTGAAATGTATGTACTTTTTCAATCCGAAAGTTGGATGACTGGCTATTATCAACAGCTCACAATAATCCCTTATGCTGTCTTATGAGAATTTTATTTTTAGTGCATGTTTTGGATAGAGGGGATCAGGATCCAAATCCTTGGCATTTGGTTCAATTTGAACAAAGTTCACAAAATGTCTAGAGCAGCCCTGCTTTTCCAAACAGAGTACATGGTCTGTAGTCAGATTTGCATCTCAGGAATTCATATTGTCCTGTGGTGACAGGTGGCAGATGTGAAGATGATATGGGTTGACAGGCTAGGTTTCGATTTTCATGTTCATTCTGGGGAAGGTGTCTTTGCTGTTCGGATCCCTTTTTCAAGGGAGGTCTCTGATGAGAAGGGGGTAAAATCGTCATTCAACATGATGTCTCATCATGCATGGGAGGTGGAGAAGAGCTATGCGAGTCCAGAGTTTGAGAAGGTGCAGTTCTTGAAGAAGGTCAGATAGCAGTGTGAATTCTATTTCCGTGGTCGATTATCTTTTGTTATTCAGAGGAGTATAGTGTGAAGTTTTGGTTCCATTTAACATGTATTGTTTGTCTTATATATTGGTTATTTTTTTCTGTACCAAATACATTTGATGCAATTGACATCATGAATTATGTGATAGTAATTTATTTGAGAAGAGCAATGAATTAAGAATAACTCTGGACCATGAGATGAGAAGTAAATTAGATGTCACATGAAAACCATGCTCTCTGGTAAGGTTGTTACTATTTGGCCATGTGTCGTCTGAATGTAAAGCTTGGTTTTAGCATGCAAAATGCCTGGAGAATTCACATCATAGTAGTAGTAGCTAAAGCATCTGATAAGCATTCCATTGGTATTCTCATGTATTAGAAAATCACATGGTTAGCCAGAGTGTAAAACTTCTATGTAACTGCTTAGCCATGAATTTTTTTAGTGTGTGACAATTATTCATCGCAGCATATGCTGCATGATGTCAGTTCAATACATAATATAATCAAATTGTTCAGTTAGCAAAATAAGCAATTGCTACAGAAAAAAGAAAGAAGGGGGTCTTCCCAGTGTGGGCATGTGACTGTGCCCAGTTGGCATTACTACGTACGATCAGAGTCATGTATGTATTTTAGATAATGCGGAAGATCTCTTACCTTGTGATTTCCTACATGTGCAAGAAACATGCGGGTAAGAGCTTGCAAGGCATGATTGGAGGGAGGTCAATGGGTTTTCATGTGGGAGAAATTCTAACCATCTGACTCCTATGCCGTGAACATGAAGGTGCACATGCCATGAGTACTAGCGATGTACCCGTGAGCAGAATAGAATTTTCTAGGCCATGAAATTTCTATAGCAGATCGACGTTCATGCCCGAAAATTTTTCCTGAACCCCAGTTTTTTTTTGTGTGTTCATTCTTTAACTCTCGGAGTAAAAGTTGGAAAGTAGCTGTTGAGCACACGTAAAAGGGTGCAGAAATGTCATCAAAGTGATCTGATTGGCGAAATACAGGTCGGAGCTGAGCCTGTTCTGGACTCTCATCGTCTTAGCTGATAGCAACCTATGATGGATTAGTGGAATCATGTTCATCCTTTGCTCCACGGGAAACTGGAGAACCATGATTCCACGGTATTTAAAACCGGCCGCCTTATTTTGACAGTCTCTGAAAACGACATGCTATGCTTTTCAGATTCAGTGGTCCGTCGAATCGCATTCTTTCCTGCTGCGTGCCGTGCCGTTGGTACTAGTCGTCAGGCATATTCAAAGCGCGTTCGTTCCCGTGAACGTGAAGAAAGAATCAAAGGTACCGTAGAATTTTTGCCGCGATTTTCGCGATGCCTTTTTGAGAGTGATTTGAGTTCATATTTCATCAGTATTATTATCACGCCGTTGTATATGGTGTGACAAGAAACCGTCAGCCAGCGGCTTTCTTTATTGCCCTGCCTAAAACCACTGCTCCATCAATCTGTGGCATGACTCCTCATCAGCAACTTGCAGGGTACTCTTATCTGCTTTGTGGTAATTGCACTAGCTGCCTCATGTTTTTTAGTGCATAAGCTCTCTTCTGCCGATTTTAGCTCCTATCTGCATAGGAATGGAAGATTTTGCGGTAATACTCGTTCCAATATTCAGAGATTCCAGTTCGCGAGATGTTGTAGATGAAACCTGTGTACGCAGAATGGCACCGGAAAAATGCAATCTGTAATTTGTCAATTCATATGCTATATATTCTGGTTCTACCTTTTCAATCAACAATCAATTACCCAAACAGTAATACTACTAACATCAGTGTGCCTGGCAGATACAATCGTTGAAAGAATTTTCCATCCACAAGAACAAGAAAATGATTTAGTCAGATGTTGGCGGCTTCGTCCTCATTGGGCAGCTTGATGTACCTATGGCCCGCCATGATCTCCTCCACTTCCTCCACGCTCTCCCTGCACTCGAAGTAGTAGGCGGTGACGGCGGCGACGGAGAACACCTCCACGGCGCCGAGCAGCAGCACGTAGGCGACGCCCGCGGCCACCCCGGCGGCGGCGCTGCGGGGCCACCAGCTGAGCGCGAGCGTGTACACGGGCGACACCGCGGCGCCGAGCGCGCACGTGGCGACCACGTACACCACGGCCTGCGCGCCCCGGCCCCGCATGAGCCGCCACGCGCGCCCCACCGCGCCGGCGCCGCGCCGCCCGGGCTCCGCCGCGGACACGGCCACGGCCACGGCGCAGACGACGGTGAGGTAGACGAGGAAGAGGGCGGCCAGGAGCGCCAGCAGCACGTCGAGGAAGAGGAGCAGGAGGGAGTAGTCGAGGAGGACCACCGCGAGCACGGCCAGGGCGACGATGGCGGCGGCGCAGGCCAGCTCCAGGACGTATCCGAACGCGACAGTCAGTATGGGGCCCCAGATGTTGCCCTTCGCCGCGCCGAGCGCCGCGGACACGGTGGCGGCGCGCCCGTCGCCGTCGGCGGCGGCGGCGGAGAAGGCGGCGACGGCGGCGAAGACGGTGGCGATCTTGATGGCGGACCCGGCCACCACGGCGCCCAGGAGGCAGGCTCCGATGGCGAGCAGCAGGCGCCGGAGGTCGGACTGGAGGGCCCTCACGAGGTCCCGGTACGCGGCGGTGGCCGGGTCCACGCGGCTGATGGCGTCCGCGTCGAGAAGCACGGCGGCCGCCAGCGGCTGCACGGAGAGGGCGTTGCCGAGGAGCAGCGCCGCGGCGAGGGCCGCCGTGAGGACCAGCAGCGGGGCGAAGAGCGCGCCGTTCCGGGCCGGGAGGACGGCGCCGTGCTTCAGGAACGTCAAGAAACCCGGCGGCGAGGGCGGCTGCTGGCTCGTGGTGGCGGCGGCGGCCGGGGGATCCATGGCCATGGCTGGTCCTGGTCGGTCTCAAGAGAAAGGGGATCGGAGCGAGGAGAAAGTGGGGAGAGACGCCGGCTGGCGGCTAGTCGTTAGCGCGTGGTGGAAGGGACCAGGACAATGGATTATGGACGGATTGGTGAGGCTTTTGTAAGGGAAGCGGCGGTCGAGGGTCAGGGAATTGGACTTTTTGACTGGGAGGGAGGGTGCGGAGTGGAGATTGGAGAAGGAGCCGGGGAGGGGAATAAGCGCATGCTGGAGACGACATGGAACATGGAAGGAAGGTTCTTTACATGAGATAGGACGGCAGCATGGATGTCTTCTGGATCCGGCGAGCGGGGCACATGCTTGTCTTGTCCGTCTCCGTGATGCAATGCAACTACCGGCTGCGGAGAAAAATATACGCCCAAGTACTTGTAGATCCCACTAGTTCCCAACTGAATCTTTGTTTTTTAGGGAAGACTATATAATCACATTTGTCAACGTATATTTTTCGCACAAAGTTCCCACAAAGTACTTGGGCTCATTCTTCTCAACGTAAACGTCCCCTCGAGCGCACATACCAGTTGAGCTATGCAACAAATGTGATTATATAGCTAGCGCTATCTTTTTAACTACACAATTCTGAATCTTATATTATATATTTGACACTCAAAATTATCTTAAATGAAAAAGTTGTTAGCTACAAAATTGTAGATCTCGTCGAGTACTACAACATTGAGGTTGACTTCATTTCTATTTAACAATGTTAATCGTCTCAAATCTGTTATGAGAACTTATATTGCATATTTGGACTTGTAAACCATCTCAAATTAGAAGTTGTGAACCACAAAGTTTTAGATCTTTTGAACTCTACAATTTTAATATAGGTTTATCTTAATCCGATATCATATAAAAAGTTACGTTTTTTTTAAATAGGTTATCACTGCCTGTTCGTGGTTCCAATAATCTACCATGCCGGATCAGTTGAACCCACCCGAAGGTGAACAGTGATATACTTATTACTACGGCTTCACCGGCCATAACCGGCAGTGATGGCACACAGTGATTACATATGTTCCAGCTTACTGAGCAAACGACTATTACTATAGCGACTTCTATGTTCTCTGCAGTCCGGTGTGAGAAGCCAGACTGCCAGAGCCGGTGTGAGTTGGCCTAAGTTTCGCTGCAGTCCTCCACTCACGGTGGGCTGGCTTCGTAGCCGAAGAATCAAACTGGATCGGCCCGGCGTCATTAGCTTTATGGGCCTTGTACAGTTGAGACAAATCCTAAATTGTCTCCCAGTGCTATACAGTTCTTGAATGATATTTCTCAAAATAGTTCTGAATAGAATCGGTACACCAAATAAGTCGTGATATTATTTGTTTTCGTCCGTTTATAATAAAGTGCTAATTGACTATCCTATACCCAAGTTTAGGAAAAAAAATTACGCAAGTGCTAGCGCCTAGACGTCCAGAAGGACGCTCGTGGCTGTAATCGCCCCCATTTCGCGTCCACGTGGGGCCCGTGCTACTCGGACATCACCGCTCGCGCTTGCATTTCACGTGCCCACAAGTGGGCCGCGACGCCCAGACGTCGCCCTCACAGAGACCGCTACGCCCTTCTCGCTTCCCACGCGCATCCCATGTGTAACACCTGATCTACTTTTGAAACATCCAAATGCAGCACTTGGAATATACAAAAGAAGACAGATGAAACACTTGAAACATGCATTTGAAATACTTGTAAAAACACCCAAAAATACTTGAAAACCATTGCATACGTACACAACATCTAGATAAAACACTTGCAACATATGTGTAAAACATATATATGCAACATCCAGATAAACATGCTTGCAACATACATATGAAAAATAGATAAATAAATGGGAACAAATGTTTGCAATATATGTGCACAACCATTGCAACATATGCAACATCCTAATATACCTTTTTTTTAACATCAGTATGAAAACACTCAACATACCTCTGAAATATCTAAAACACATGAAACATACGCTTGCAACATGTGCTTTCAGTGCAACAATTCCTTGCTGCTTAGGAGAATAGAGGCTTGTCAGCGTGTGGAGTTCATCGGAGTCAGCGGCCCGGTGGCGGCGGCTCTGCAATGTGGCGGAGAGGCAGCGGCTGCACGATTGGGAGAGGGCAGTCGCGAGCCGCGCCTGGCAGGGTTGGAAGCCGAGCGTCGCGACTGTGAGCGGTGCCGCGCACCGCGCCTGGTAGGGCCAGTGACGAGCGCTACGCCTTGAAGGCAGCAGACCGCACCGCTCTGGCCTAGGCAGTGGAGGACGTTGCAGGTGCCTCCGCCTGGTCCTCGCGGTGGCCATTGCCCCTAGAGTGGATAGGAGCGAGTGGATGAGCGGATAGGAGCGACTGGACGAGAGTAATTTTTTTTGAGAAACTCCTGAGTGGATAGGAGGGGGCAGTTGGGCTAGCGTCGTGGCCCACCAACGGAGCATCCAGTTGGACAGACGCCCGCTTCCCAGCATTATCAAAAAATTAGTGTAAGAAAGCAATCCGGTCAAAGACGAGCAAAGCACTGACTATAACACTTGTAGGTGGGTTTTTCTTATAGTTTATTAAGAGTGAGCGTTTCATCTATATTTTATTTTATTCTATATGACATGGTAGTCTTGAAAACAACGCGTCATGAAACTATTTATTGAGATTGGCCTAACGAGGTCGTCATATAAATTAAATCCGGGGAAATACTAACTTGTGCATGTATGCATACGGCCATAGCAGAATTCAGAAAAGACTCTGAGAGACAGCAGTCGCAGATTCTTGATCTCTCTATTCCCTGAAGCTAGAAACCAACAACAAGCGCAGTTGATTAACCATTTTCACTATATATATGTCAAAGCCTCAAAGGTAGCGTAGAACATGCCAAAAGCGAGATGTGGATCCACGCGTGACACGTGCATGCAAAGCATGCGTCATACCCAAGCAAGGACCGTGACCAGTTCCTGGCAACCAACATTTTTCAATGAATGCTATTAGCAATCGCAGTGCAATTAAGACGACCTAGTCTTCAATGTTCTCTAATCTCCCGCGTGCGTAGGTTTTTGGCAGGACTGCTGCACCTGGAAAGTTTAGAGGTGTCACGTTAGATGTTACATGAATGTATCATATCGAATGTTTGGATAGTAATAATAAAATAAATTACAGAAGTCCTCAGTAATCCGCGAGACGAATTTATTAAGCCTAATTAATCCGCCATTAGCACATTTTACTGTAGCATCACATTGTCAAATCATGGACTGCGGGCGGTACGTGCCGCTGACTGCGAGCTCACCCACACGGACCAGGCCACGCGCGACAGCTTGGGCTACGGTGAAAACATCATGGTGGGCGCACCTGGCAGCGACCTGACGGTGGCCGAGACCGTGCAGACATGGTGGGTGGACAGTGAGAAGAGAAACTTCGACGGCGCGAGTGGCACGTGCATGGTTGGACGGCCGGAGGAGCTCAGGTGTGGGCACTACACCCAGGTGGTTTGGCGCGATACCAAGGCCATCGGCTGCGCGCGCGTCAAGTGTGACAATGGCGGCGTTTTCATCAACTGCTACTATACACCAGCAGGCAACGTTCTCAACCAGCGTCCATTCTAGGGGCCTGCTGGCTTAATTGGTGGGTAATATACCAGTACTACAAATATATCTATCTATCTATGCTATGGTAACCCTAATGTAACGCATGTTTGCTTTAATTACCTATGCAATCCAGATGTAACATTATAAATAATGTATTTTGTACCTTAAGTTTAGAATAAAAATAAACAGATATTGATAATATCATCACTGTTTAAATGTGTACGTGTCGTGTGGACGCCATGAGTTAGTGATGAACGTACTTACCGTGACGTACTCTACCCCTTCCTCCCTACTCTAAATGGAAAATGCAATGTGAAGTTCCACATTTTTCTAGTCTAGAGATATAAGTGACGAAGTATACTTGAACCGGTGGGATGTATATCAAGATACCATTCGCAACAAGATAAAAGCCAGAATTTGATAGTCTACCTAAACCTGGCTATAACTTAATGGGAGGCCATTAGGGACATTAGACTGAACAACGCGATGGAAGATGAAATCAAATGGCGATGGACGGCGGATGGAGAATACACCACAAAGAGTGCATATTGAATTCAGTTTGATGGAACTTTTAGCAAAATCAAAATAGGGCCGATTTGGAGGTCTAAAGCAGAGCCGAAGTATCGCTTCTTTGCATGGACCTTGTTGTACAAGCGGATCCCGACGGCTAATAACTTAACGAAACGTGGATGGACTGACGTTTCGGACTGCACACTGTGGAAGCGACCTGTAGACTCCATTACACCTTTGCAAAGATTGCCCGTTCACTAAGGAAACATGAAAAATTAATTATCAAGTAGTGGTTCGATCTATCAGCCCTCATCACGGATTACAATAGGTTCGCTTTATAAATTTTTGTGGAAATGCAGAAGGAAAGTGGATAAAAGCCAGAGACAGAAATCTAGGTGACATCCTAATCTATTTTTGGTGGAATATCTGAAAGGAAAGAAATAGAAGAATTTTCTAACAAAAAGACTCTAAGCCCAAGACAAGTTGCTATGTTATGCAAGGATGACATTGTTCAATGCTGCTTGGCAATGACGTGGGTGCACGGAAGCACATAAACGCAGTAGTATGGTAGAAGTTGTTTTTGGGTTCAAGTTTTGTTTTTGTGCTTCTGGGACAGCGCACGCCCGTGCTGCTTTGTTCGGTTGTTTCGAGTTGTTCTGACTGTTGGGGCGTGGCTGTATCCCTGTAATTTACTTATACAGTTCTCTTTTTATTTTATTCGTCTAATAAAACCTGCTGCGAAGTTTTTGCTATCCTTTCTAAAAAAAAATCTGGCTATAACGGATGGGAAAAATTCTACTGCTCATTAAAGAAATAACGCAACACATGTCTCCCATGTCTACTATATATGTGTACCTCTACGTCAAGAAAGTTTGGAACCCGATAACAGTCCCAAACCCGGACTATA